CTGCTTATGCAGGGGGTCGGACTCGATGATCTATTGAGGTCCCTTCCGACCCTAACATCTATGAATCTATGAATCTATGCCCAGGGTCACTTGGCCCCTGGTGCCATGGTTGGCCCCTGAGCCGCCTGCCATGCTAGTGCCCCAGGACTGCTGCTGCAGCAACCCCGTGCACAACGCCAACGGAGCTGCTCCCCCCGCGCAGACCCAGACCACATCCTGGAGCAAAGCCCGCCCCCGCCTGCTGCTCGCTCTGCTTTCGAGGTGAATTTAGCACAGTGCCTGGGGCCGCCCTGGCAGCCCCACAGAGCACATCCCTGCCTGGTGTGGGCCCCACACCCAGCCTGCACCTTGTTGGCTCAGTCCCGGAGCTGCGCACTTCCTCCCTGGCTGTCTGCGGGCGCCGTCAACGTCCGGGCTTGTAGAGTCTGAACAGAGCCCCTGCCTGGGGCTTCCTGTCAGGGGACTTCTGCTCTTGCCAGGGCTCAACATTATTTGGAAGCATCAGGCATAACAGAGGCTTAAGACACCAACCAGCCTCTGTGGGGCACATGGGGAGGCCCCGCCAGCTGTGCTGCATCCCCCGTTACAGACCAACATGCAGCTCAGCTGTGCACCAGGCTGGGTCACACCAGGACCCAGCCCCAGGCAGGCCTTTTGCCTGGGTATCCTCTAGCTGCTGTAGTTGTCTCCATGTTGCTGGGAGGGGAGTCTCCAGGGCCCTGGGTCTGAGCAGGCCTGACCCCAAGCACTGACAGGTCTTGCTCTCACGGAGGCACCTGGCCCTAGGGCTGTCAGGCCAGGAATTGGGGAATGCCCTATCCCCATGGATCACACAGCAATGACCCTGGCTGCAGGGACACAGTGCTACGCTACCAGGTCCTGGCACGCCATGTGCTGGTCTCCTTGCCCTCCATCTGCCATGGGGACTGCAGGTGGTGAAGCCAGCTGAGCCATGTCACTTCAGTTTGGTTCATGGGGCCCCTTGGCTCGGGGTGCAGGGGTTCTCAGGGAAGTTTGGAGCGCAAGCTAGGAATGGGCACCAGAGCCTGGCGTGGTGACTGACAGACACACAGAAGGCTGGACGGACAGACACATGGGAACAGAACTGCCACCTCCATCCCCCACTCGCCTCTGAAAATCCACCCTGCTTCTCAGGGGCCTGCCTCATCCAAGAGTCTGACCCTCGCTGCAGGGTCCACCAGCCCTGGTGCTGCCTTGCCCACGGGGAGCCCAGGCCTCCAGAGTAAAGGTGTGGCCTGGAGCTGTGTCTGACCCCCAGCCCCAGCATTTCATCCAGGCTTGTTGTTCTGGCCCCCGTGGCCAGATGGCCGTTCCCAACCTGATGCCCCAGTGCCAAGGTGTGCAGCCAGCACCAGGCCCCCCTCACCTCTGGCCACTTCCAGGGGTGTCCGCTCTGCCTTGGCCCCATTCTCTGGGCTCCTGCGGTGGGACATGGAGCGCAGGTATTTCCGCAGGTTCAGCTTCCCACCCTCCTGGCCCCGGGGCTCCTTGGGTGCCTTAGCTGGGGCGGAGAAGGCCCTCTGGAACATGGACCGTCGGGCTGCAGCCCTGCTACTGCCTGTGGGGCCTGGGGGCCCAGGGCTCTGGCCACTCCTGGCTGTGCTCTCCTCAGGGGTGTCTGTCTCCGGGTGGCTGTATGCACGCTTCCAAGTGTGCAGCTTGCTCCAGCGGCTGGGGCCAGGGGTCGGGGGGGCCCTCTCCAGCTCCTTCTCCCCACCTTGGGGGCCCATTCGCCATTTGTAGGACTTTAGCAGGGATGGAGACTCGGCTGTGGGGGGCGGCTTCTCCACCTCCATCTGCAGAGGAAGAGCAGGTGTGTGAGGCTGCACTCGGACAGCGAGGCACAGCAGGGCCTGGGGATGGCCCTCCTGGGCACAGCAGGAGGGCGAGAAGAGCAGGGGAAGGGGCAGCATGAGATGGGCTCAAGACAGATGAGGGCAGGGCTGCCATTCAGAGCCTCCAGAGCTGACACATGCTCTGTATGTGCCCACCTGGTGTCCTCCCCATGATGCAATGGAGAGGGCACAGATGGGTGCCTGCAGCCACCTGGGCCCTGGGGCAGCTGCCATGGGTTGTCCACTCCCAAGCTGAGCCACAGCAGCTCCCTGGGGTTGCATGGAACTCATGGGAGACTCATGGGAGCTCAGAGGGGACAGGAGAATGATGCCCCTCCCACTGCCTGTGACCCTGGGGTGACAGGTGTTGGTTGCAATAGGAGTTGCTGGGGGGTTGTGCATTTGCCCTTGCACAGGCCCCAGTGTCTCAGGAAAGAGCGAGTGTTGCAGCCCATGAGGAAACCCTGCGGCTGGAAGTCCTTGCAGAGGAGGGCGCAGGGGCTGGGCTGGGGCTATGTGCCCAGGAAAGGTGCAGGGAGCGTGGCACCAAGGGTGGTGCCTAGCTGACGCTTCTACCTGACCCACTAAGAACCAGTCCTCCCAATTCCCAGGTGGTGGTGAGGGAGAGGGCAACGGTTAGGGACTGGCAGGGGGGTGGGGGGCATTTCCGCTCCCTCTGTCCTCCTGCTGCAGCTCTTCTCCTCCCTCACCAGTTGTTTCCTCTCCACCACCTGCCCTGTGCTCTGAGTTTCAGATGCAAATCAGCAGCCCCTGGGGTCCTGTGGCCTTGGAGGGATGAACCAGTCACTGAGGAGAGCCATGGCCCCTTCCCAGTGCATCCTGGCCAGACTGGCGGGGCGTGGGTCAACTGCAGCCTTCAGGCTCCCACCGGCATGAGTGAGGCACCAGTCCCTCCAACATCCATGGCCCTGAGCCTGTGGTGTCAGGGGAGACTGGGCCCCCTAAGGTCTCCCAGGGGCCTAGAGCCCAGATCCCAGGGGCCTGTGAATCTCCAGCAACCAGCCCTTGCCCTTTGGGGGCTCCTGCTTGCATTCAAACCTCACGATGGGAGGGGAGGCTGTCCTCTACCAACGGGGCAGAGCCCAGCTCCCTTATGACCCTTTACCCCTGGGGTCCCTGCCTCAAGTCTGATCTGGCAGTGGGGGCTCTCCCCAGAGATGCTGTAAGAAAGTCAGCTGTGCGGGGCCCCTGCTTGCTGTTTGCGGCCTCCCATCTAGGCTACCTCCTCCCCCTCCCCCTGCAGCAGCCCTGAATGCTCCCCTGGATGTCTGGGGGGCTGGTCCCCAGCCCCTGGGGCATTGCCTTGGTTCCCGCATGGCCCCGTTTCTCTCACTCTTGCAACCTCCATGCATGCAGGGGGAGCCCCTGGCCCTCTCCAGCCTGGGTGCAGGGGGAGTGCCCCTTGGAGAGCTGCTGCCACAGAACAAGGGCCGCTAAAGGAGCAGGCAGCACCAGGGCTGCCTGCCACCTTCTATGCGCCCTACAGCCATGAGGCCAGGGCTGGGAGCTTTCCCTGCTCCCTCCAGCCCCCTGCCCCAGAGACCCCTGCAGAGAGGCAGGGGTCAGCAGAAGCCCTGCACTTTACCTTGGCTTCCCGCCGCCTTGCTGTCACCTCCTGGCTCCTCAGCTCTCTGCTTGGTTTCCTCTCGGCAGCACTGGGTTGCCGGCAAGTCCCCATGTGACCAGGCGGGAACTGCTGTTGCAGTCTCACCTCCACCCCTGCCTGAGCAACTCGGATGCTCTTGCTGCTTTCTGCTGTATTGGGCTGGTTCTTATGGGCCTGGGGCTTGGCTCCACTGTGGCCCATACAGCAACGAACCAAGCCAGACGGGCTCAGGCATGGTAGTTGCACCTACCGCCCACGGCGAGCCCACAGCAGGCAGGGCCTCCCAGCCCCAGGGCTGTTCTCTTCTCTTGAAGTCTGTGGGTGGCAGCTTAGAACTGGGTGATAGGGGTGGGGATCATTAGGTTTCAGAGTGAACAACATCTCTGCTAGGACTGTGCTGAATGGGTTGTGGCACAAAGTTGCCTTGCACTGACTCCCAGGTCTCTCTGCACTTCTGCTTTCAGGTCCAGGAGGCAGCACAACTTTGCATCCCTCCAGCCCCCTCTGATTCCTTTGTAGCTGGAAGGCCACCCCCTCTGCCCCCCCATGCTCAGGGTAGCGTCACTGGCATGTGAGGGGAGTGGCACCACCTAGTGGCAGCTGTGGGAAACACCACATCAAGGCTCCTACCGTGAGGACACAACACAGCCATTGTGGGGCAAGAGCACAGGGGCCTAGCTGTGGGGATGGGTCCTCTCCTGAGGGGACTGGCTGCCTCCAGCAGGTTCCTGCCCATCTGTGAAAAGGGCTGGCTGTCAGAATAGGAGCTCTTTGGTCTGAAGTGTGGCAGAGAGAAGGGCAGTCACTTGGGGGCGAGAGGCATTTCTGCATGAGGCAGGGGTGGGATGCACTGCCACCCAATGTACCCCAGCCAGCTGGGAGTCAGTCTCCTGCCTCTGCCTCAGTTTCCCCACTGTGCTCTGGTTTGGCTAGGCCAGGAAGCACTTTGGTCTGGCTGATGGGGGCTTTCCATTGCCCGTGGTGCCCTGCTACAACACACGCAGACATAAGCAGAGCCAGGCCGATGTGCCCCCATCCCCATCTTTATTGTCTGATGTTCCAGGGCAGATCAAAGATGTGCAGCAGCCACCGGACTTGGCCTCCATCCTTGACAGCCTCAGCTTCACTGTGCCTGTCTGCACCCACCAGCACAGCCTCTCTCGCCTGCCTGGCGGGGCTTGGTCCTGCTGGGTATGTCCAAAGCACAGCTGGGCTCCAGCCTGGTCTGGCTGGGGACTCACTGCAACAGCAAGCAGAGGAAGAGGCATTGGATCCACAGCTCAGGGCAGGCCCCAACCCCCACCCTCCTTTACTCTCTTGCATTCTCCAGCACCCCCTGCACTAGCTATGCCCTCCAGAGCTGGCCATGGGACAAACATGGCCCCTATAGTGCTGGCCCCAAGGCCTCAGTAAGCTGGAGATCTGCTCCAAGCTCCACATCCCCGTGATCGTGGGACAACAGTGGCTGCTCTCAGATGACTGGAGCAGGCCCTGCCCTGCTGCTGGAGAGAACAGCTGGGGCCTGCAGCTCTTGGAAGGAGCGGGGTGGGGTCTGTGCCAGGGGCTTAGCCTCATGTTTAGCTGCACTGTGTGGCGGCAGAGGGGACACAGTCCTCCCAGCTCCTTGCTCACCTTGAAGCCATGCCAGGTCTCAATCTCCTGGAAGAGGGCATCGCCGGGGCATTTGGTGTGCCCCATCTGCCGGTGCCCATGCACAGTGTAGTTGGCCTGGAGCCGGGCACCAGCCACAGCACAGCGCAGGAACCTGTTGCGTACCAGTGCCAGAGCGAAGGGTTCCGGCAGGGTGGTCGAGTAGTCCCCAATGTAGCTCACCCCGTAGCCCTTGTTGTTGTAGCCTCTGGTGTGAGCACCCACCCAGTGCCAGCCTCGGCCTTGGTACAGGTACCCATCTGATCCGACCACAAAGCTGCAGCAGAGTGAGAGTACAGCAGTGAGCTCTGGAGTGCTAGGAGCCAGGATCCTGCTGCTCAGCACAGGCCACAGTAGGGTGGGCAGGGTCGAAGTAGTCCCTGGGAGGCTGCGGGGTCCCTGCCCCTCAGTGTCCCTGGGCTGGGGAAAGGCAGATCCCTTCTGCAGCCAGGCTGCTTGGAGGCCCTGCTCAGAGATATCCAGAATGGGCTGGGGATGCAGGGACCCTGGCAGGCCTCAAGATCCTCCCCACTTTCCAGCCACAGCTCAGTCCCATGTGCTGCTGTACCCTGCTCCTCAGGCCTGGGGCAGTGCATTTCTCAGGGGCAGGTTGTCTAGTGTGGTTAAAGTGTCCCGTCCCCCTGTCCCGTCTCCCCACTCCCAGCCTTGGGCATGCTGGGAGCAATCACACTCACTTGTAGCCAATGTCATTCCAACCACGGTCATCTTGGTGGAAGCGCTGCATGGCCCGCATGTTGGCAGCGCACTCGGGGAAGCTACGGCAGGGCTGGCTGGGTATGTAGGTATGGTGGATGTACAGAAAGCCCAGTGGCAGGTGGAGCTGCTGGGGTTCACCCTTGTAGGGTCTGGCTTCCCACATACAACGGGGGATGATGGCTGGGCACTCTGCAGGCAGATGGACATTGCAGGGTGGGACTGCAGCCCCAAGCCCAGGCACCTCCTGCAACCCCCACGACACCAGCTTTGGTGCCGGTGCCTGGATCTCTGCCTTGCAGCTGGACCCAGCAACTTGCCCAGGGCCAGCAGGATGGTGCTGCAGGTGCAGGGGCCTGGGCTGCGCAATAGACACATAGGGGTGACTCTCTACCCCTGCTTTCAAACCCAGAAGAAAAGTCTTCCTCCCACTCTGGTTTTGCAGCCTCCCTGTCCCACGTCTCCAGGGCTCACCAGACAAGCTGGGTCAGGGGTCCTAGCTCAAGTGCTTCTTTCTGCTCTTTTAAGAAAGAGGCAATCTCCCTCCAGCTCCCATCCCTGGAGCATTTCTGTTCAAACTTTTTCTGGGAGAATATGTTTCAGGACTTGGGAGTGGTGCACTGCTGCTGGGCCCAGTCCTCAGGCTCACAGCAGCCACTGGCCCAGGGGCTGCCCCCTATCACAACGTCAACCCCCTTGCTAGCAGTTGTGAGGCTCAGTGCCTGCAACTCCTGGAACACCCTTGAATTGGCCAACTCCAAACAGGGGACAAGGGCCCCAGTATCACCCAGCCTGCAGAGCCAGTCCCTCATGCCAGGGGCCTTAGGGCTCTCCAAGGACCAGCAGTGGGTCCCGGAATCCTCCAGCCTTGGCAGTAACCCACGTGGCAGCACCTCAGAGGAAGGTGACATCTCTTCTTCTCCACCAGGCAGCACTTATGGGGGGGGAATCCTGTCCTGACCCTTCCATGCGGCCTGGGATGGCCATATGCTGTCCCTCCTACATGGGATGTCCCTCTGTAGCTCAACATGGGGGCTGCAAATGCAAGACCCACATATAACACAGGCTGGGTTATCAGACATGGATTCTCCTTCAGAGTTGAAGGAGCTGAAACCTGGAGTGAATGTGAACAGGGAATTCCTTCCTGGCTCCTCCAGAGTCTGAGGAGTCTCCTGGCTCAGCCTCCTGCCCTGCAGCCCTCAGGCATGGCCAGGGTGAGGGGCAGCTAAGCGGGGGCTGAGATTCCAGCATTGGCCTTAGGCCCCTCATGGAGCAAGCCCTGAGTCCTTCCCTCAACCCCTGCCCCTGGTCTGAATGGAGCCATGGCCGGAGGCAGAACCTGGACCCAAGCCCAGGAAAGCATAGCTCCAGATTGGGCAGAAGCAGACCAGGGGTCCTGACTCCCACTCTAAGGAGGGTACTGGTCCAGAGAGGGGTGCCCGATAGGGGTACCCTGGACCTGGTGCTGTGGTGGGACCGGGTCCCTGCTCTGCCCCACATTCCCCATCACGAAGGAGAAGTCTGGTTACCTACCCAGGTAGGTGACTGTGAACTCCTGTGCAGCCTTGTGGGCGAGCCCAAGCAGCTCCTCTGTGCCCACCCCCTGGAAGAGGGCTTGTGTCTGCGGCAGGGTCTGGACCAGCAGGAGAGCGCTGGCTACCTGCCCTGTCAGCACCTCGGCTGGGCTCAGTGCTGCAAAGTTCTGGCGCCGGAAGTTGCTGCGGGCCTGGCCGGGCCCAGTGAGGGCCCCTGCAGCATAGTACTCCCTTAGCAGGGTGCTCACGGGGGCAGGGGGCTCTGTGCGCTCTGCCAGCCATGCGCCCAGCACCACCCCGTCCAGCGCCCCATTGATGATGGCGTCAGGCAGGGCTGAGGGGCTCCCTAGCAGGGTGAAGTTCTGGGGCTCAGCCACATTGTCCCAGCAACCGTCTGGCCCCATGGCTGCCTTGCTCTTGTTGTGCCTGGTCAGCA